ATATGCTGACTCTGTAAACCCCTTAGAGAGGGCTGAAAGCCCTATGAAGCGGTATATAAGTCTAACTGCTATTGCTATTGCTAAAAGCCATTACCTCATGTTTTTAGCTGCCATAACTACTGCAGCAATTCCCCTCATCTCCACAGCACACAGAAAATGAAAGGAGAAGGTGGGGAGAATAACAACACTTTAGTCAATTTCATCCCTGCTTTTCCTGCCCAGTTGAGGAGAAGATGCAAAACCCTCCAACCACCTTTAAAACTATAGTCTATCTTGGTGCAAATAGATCTACAGTATATAGATTTCATTTTTATTTAGGAATGTTGTATTCCCAGTAAATTGGAAACAACTACATATAGACAGAGATGGGCTGCTATGGGTTCGCCTGGGTTCGGGAGAACCCATAGTTAATGTTATGGCTGGTTTGGAGAACCTCCAAATCCCACCCTTGGAGACTCAGGGAAGGGGAAAAACAGGCCTCTGGAGCCAGGGGGAGGCAGTTTCCGCCCTCCCAGAGGCTCAAGGAAAGCCTCTGGAACCTGGGGAAGGCAAAAACGTGCCCCCCCCTCCATGGTGCAGGAGGCTGACTAGGCCACACCCACTATGACCACGCGCACCAGCAACCAGGCAGAGAACCCATTGCTGAAATTTTTGAAGCCCACCCCTCCTTGCACATATGGTGTACACTAGCACAGGGGCCCACAAACCCCGGACCATGGATTGGCACAGCATGCTAGAAACTGGTCCACGCTAACAAGCAAAGCCCCATCTGTGCGATACAGGCAGCATGTGAAACCACGCCCCCTCTGATCTGCGGAAACCAATCTCTGATGCCCAAAAGATTGGGGGCAGGGGTGCTGCTCTAGCAAGTTATAAGAAAATAACATCAAATTAACAGGTATTTGAAGAATGTGTTTCCCTGCTCAAATTGTAATCTCAACAGCACATCTATGGCATTCTGAAGGGGATCTGTACCTTCCAAGCATAGCCTTTTGGAGCTGCAGAAGGATAGCAATAGCAATAGCAATAGCAGTTAGACTTATATACCGCTTCATAGGGCTTTCAGCCCTCTCTAAGCAGTTTACAGAGTCANATGGGCCTGTTTTTGCACAAAACAGGCCATTTTTTGCTCATTTTTGGCCCACCCCCACCCCAGGAGCACTCTACAAGCCTCCAAAGGCTATTCATGCCCTTTTTTGGAAACAAAACGGGGCCATTTTCGCAAAAAACTGGCTGTTTTGGGGAGGTCTGCAGAGTGAAAAACGTTTTTTTATTATGCCTCTTCAATATCTTGGTGCGTCTTATACTCCGAAAAATACGGTATTTTCTTAGGGATACCACAACTTTCCACCTTTAGCTCCTCTCACTAATGTGCAATTTGAGTGATGACTTTGCAGAAAAATGTGTTATAAGAATTAAGGTTTCTGTACAGTGTAAAAGAATTTCAAACTCTATATATGAAATAAACAGAATAATAATTATGACCAAAATAATTTAACATACTTGGTTAGGAACAGAATGTTGTCTTGGGATGTCCAAAAAGCAGCTGTATATTGATCCAAGTTTTGAATAGCTTGCTGAGAAGGTGCCAGAATAGTTATATTGCTCATATCTGTCAGCAGAGTTCTTATTGGAGATGTCTGGAGGCACAGAATAAAATGAATTGTTATTACTAACTGATTTTTTTCCCTACAGGTGAGGAGGATTCCATTTTTTAAAATTATTACGCAATAGTAAGATAAAAATGAAAGGACTTCAAAACTACAACAGCAGTTGAATGTTGAGAATTCTGAAAATCAACGAGACCTTTTTAGAAGCAAAGAATCAATGTCAAGCAGTTGAAGTTGTTTTTACAGTAATTTTGATTATTATATTTAATTTTGAGGGGACGTGTGGCTCAGTGGCTAAGACGCTGAGGTTGTCGATCAGAAGGTTGGCAGTTCGGCGGTTGGAATTAATAGTTTTGAAGAGTTACTCACATTAAACCATTCATGAAAGCCAGCTGTGCCTGACAGAGAAGTCAATTCCTAAACAGGAAAAATAAATAAATTACATTAGCAGTCATTATTATCATTATTCAGTGATGTACTTGGTATGTATAAAGGCTCATAACAACTGGCTTCCTGATGCTTTGGTAGAATCTTCCTTTGTACATACAGTTGAGTTCAATTCAGGAAACCTCAGGATCACTAAAATCCTAATGTCTAAGAAAGAATTCCTTTTTTCCCCTCTCTCATAAGAACTGCTTATTAACCTAGAGCTGTGGTATTCTCTGGATGACTTTATTGGCACTTACACAGACATGTATCCCTGTATCTGTACAGACATCACTGAAAAATTCTAGAGCTCAACTGCATTTTGGTAGAAACACTGCACATATCTGAAAAGACACCCATTATTTACCTCAGTTCCTGCAGCAGACACATTTTTAGTATAAGTCTGCCTGTGAGTGGTTGATGAGTGGACCATTAGTCCCCTCACCGAGTAAATATCTGAATAGTCAGATATTTACTTGAAGAATACAGTTACAGGTTCTTCAATTTTTGGGGGTTTCTACAAAACATTGGTTGATGTGTAACAATATGTTGTTGAAAAAGCAGGTATATAATGGTACATCTAATAGCAGGGGCAAGTCTATAGGCATCCACACAATAATGACAGAGAAAGGATAAGATCACATGTATATGACATAGTGCAAAACTCCAAACTTCTATAGTTGGAGTGTCCATTTCCTTCACTGAGTGGATCTCTAACCTTAGAGATAGAAGAAGCTTTAATAATTGTAATATACAGTACATAATTATAAGTCACAAATGTTATTCTGTGATAAGATTTAGGGTGATCCTCTATGCCACAATTTGCAATGACTGATGATATGAATGATGAAGTGCTACTTGAAGCATGGAAAGGAGATATAGAATGTGGAGCAGATGACAGCATATGCCAGTGATGGTGAACCTTTTCAGCACCGAGTGCCCAAACTCGCATGTGCATCGGCCAGCTGGTCTTTGCGCATGCCGGAGCACCGGAAACTCAAAGACCAGCTGGCCAGTGCACATGTGTGTGCCAGAAACCAAAAAAGCAGCTGACGATGGCGTGAGTGCCCACAGAGAGGGCTCTGCATGCCACCTCTGGCACACGTACCATAGGTTCTCCATTATAGGCATATGCCTTTGAATAAGGTGTATAGCTACCAAAAGCTTGTTATCTGTTGCAACGTTGGCAGATTTTAGTGCTACATCTTGTTATTGCTGGGTATGGGGAGAACCTTTAAAGAAATGATCCCATTCAATAAATAAGGAAATGTCCAAGGGAGAATTGGTATTGTGGCAGGTCTCTGTAGTGATGCTCTTGTAAAGGACATTCTTCAGCTTTGCAAATAAATCTTTAGCTGGTTGATCCTGACTATAAAAACAATATGAGAGGTGGGATTCCAACTGTTATACATAATTCACTCCTGTTGGATAATTGAGGCAGTCCACTAATATATTCTTGGTATAATAATGTATGTTTATTTCATTTATATGCCACCCTTTTCCCCCGAATAAAAGTTTAAAGGGGTAAAAAAAGCATCTCTGGTGGTGCACCAAATACATGCTAGAGTTATGTGCAATAATGTTGAATATCTAATCTGATCCTATTTATTCAGATAAGAATAACAAATGGGTGGGGAACGTATAGTTGAAAAAGTAATGGAAAATGATTAGGTTAAAATATTGTAGGATTTCCAAATACAAACTGATAAAGCCTTGTGCATAATACACCAGATGTAATTGTTGAAAAGAAGAAAGTGTGAATCATTGATGTGGGGATAGTAGAATAGAGACAAAGTTTTGGAGAAGATCACAAAGTATCAAGTTTTGAAAATTGAATTAGAAAGACCTCACAGAAGTAATACATATATATATATACTAATGATGAAACCTTGTCTCTCATATACATTCCATGATTAGTCCCAGTGATGAAAGATACACCCACCCACCACTGCATCATGTTACACAGAAAAATATATAGATGTCTTCTGTGGCCTGGAATACCTCAATCAATTTCAACTTGGTACACAGATTACTTACTCTCTGGAAACAAATAATAGGGTAACACCCTCCCCCCAACACCCCTCAGGGTGTGTGGTCTGTTAAGATACAGGCTGCTGTGTTCTAAAACGGCTTATACTGTACTGCCATAAAATGAATTCTACTGTACAGTGCTGTGGAGTTGCCATGGTAATGGCTTCACAGTACTCCACAAGGGGGCTCCCTCTGGTAAGGGGGGAAATCCAACATGAAAAATTGCAGCGAGGTTCATGGAAGGAGGATTGGGATAAATAAATACTCGGGCAGCACCAAGTTATCTGCTCGTAGATGATAAAAAGATTAGAAAAAAAAACCCCACATTTGTCTGACTAGATAAATGTAAACACAGTCAGAAAAATGATTATAAGATCACTTAAAGAGTTTTTACTCACATCCATAATGTTGCCATAGCATATACTGCCATCTCCTTCATATCCCCTTGAACACACACACTTCCAGACTCCAGACATTGTGAGCTGACAAACTGCCTATGGAGAATAAATTAAACATTTATTATAGTAAGTTTATAATAAACTAAACATTTGTGTCTATGAATTCTTGGTGTGACATGGCTTGCAACATACAAGTAAGCCCACGTGTAGCAAAGCTGCTAAGGTTTCTGTGGATGGCTATGTTTCTGTTGAAAGACTCAAGTGTGCTTATTTACGTGCTCGTGACTAAATCATAATGCAATTAACTACAAGACTTTGAGGATCAAAGCATTTGCAAAACAATTTTTTAAATCCAAATAGATGAATTAACTATTTTCATTGCAAGAATTAGTTGCTAATATAATTTATTTATTAGATTTTTCAGTATGATAGACTTACTGTGTCCTGTGAAAGCCATCATCTCATTTTGTATAAATAGCTTCTACAAGAAAGAAGGACTTTGTTTGCCAATCTGGCATTCATTTTATGTGAAATCCAACCACTCTGGTACATGATTCTCAGAGGAGAGAGAAATCCATTAAAGAGGTAACTAGGGCAGTGATGGTGAATGTTTTTCTGCTTGGGTGCCAAAACGGTGCATGTGTGATAGTGTGCATGTGCATGCCCACACCCTAATACAATGCCTTCCCCTTGTGCATGCGTGCACAACCCTCCATGCTCCCCCGTGCATGCGCGCTGGCTCACTGAAGCATCTGGTCTTCAGGTAGGCCCATTGGGCTGTTTTTTTGCCCTCCCCAAGCTTTAGGAAAGTGCCCGGAGCCTGTGGATAGCGAAAACGGAACTTCTGAACTTCCAGTAAGCCATTTCTGAACTTCCGGTAGGCCTGTTTTTGCCATCCACAAGCTCCGGAGGCTTTCCTGAAGCCTGGGGAGGGCAAAAATGGCCTCCCCCGCCCTCCAGAAGGTCAAAAATCAGCTGGCCAGTGTGCACATGTGCGCTGGAGCTGACATAGGGCAACTTATCGCGTGCCCTCAAATATGGCTCCGCATGCCACCTGTGGCACGTGTGCCATAGGTTCACCATCATGGATCTAGGGTGACTTTGATGCCACAGCTAGAATTGATTGTGCACAGTTAAGAAATGTGAAACTTGTAGAAAGTTGGAGAGCTATTTGGATCTATCATATTCCTGGATCACATTTGAAAAGCAAATTGTTTTCTGAGTTTGAGAGAAACTGCTTGGCTTGCCAAGATACATTTCAAATTTGACTTCACCTTCTGAGCTGAGGTCCAAACCTCAAAGCATTGCACTAAGCTCATCTGAAGGTTGAATCATTGCTATTGCCAATAAGACCATGAGATATGAATATATGGGGATGATAGGAGGAACAGAACCTATCTAAAGAATCCCAAATCCAATTCCAAAATGACTTATAATATCACCTGGTTAGAAATCAGAACTCTCTCCATGGCATTACTACAGAGGTGGTATTCTGCCGGTTTGCCCTGCTTTGGGCAAACTGGTAGTGGTGGCGGCGGTGGGAGACTCTGCCCACCCACCCAGACATCATCACGGACTACTGGTTCTCCAGTCACAAGCAAAAGCATATTTCAATATTGTTCAATTCAACAATAAAGTTACAGAGAGGAGGAGCCAACATCACGATGATATGGATGTGTGGTCTCGATCCTCCGAGATTGCAGCCAATACTTTTGCTGCTGGGTGGTCCAATCGGACCTAAACCGTCCTGCAGAGATGGTGAACAGGAAGAATACGTCTTGGTGACCTCAGGGACATCGCAAAGTTCCTGATAGAAGCAAGAGAAGTTCTTCAAGCCAGTGACAAAAAATTCAGCCAAGGCTGACGAAGTCGGGGTGGCTCCAAAATGGAATGATAAGGAAAGAGGAAGTGTTTCCAGCTGGTGAGGAACTTTTACTGTTTTAAAAAGAGATTGCCTATAAAAAACTTAAAATTAATTCAAATTGGAGAACAGAAGAATTAAGCAGCAGAATTAAATTTGGAATGGTTTTGACAGTGGTTATCTTACTTTTTCAATGCTATCTTCATGGATGAAAATTATGCAAGTCTTTTGAAATGGATGGATTAAGCTTTCTTCTTCTATTTTTTCTTTTATTGTTCTTTATGTACACTGAG